TTAGAGTCAGTTGTATTTACATTCAGTATGACTTGTTATGATTCAATGTGAAAGAGTATACTGCTCAATAAATAATGATCACTTCACCACCTCTCTTGACATCTAGGCGCTTGAGAGTGAGTCAGAGGCAGAACACAGGGACAGTGGAGAGAGGTCCATTGCTGAGGTGAGTGATGAAAGGGAAATGACAGTTTAGAGTAAATTGTGATGTGGACTTTCATCCCAGAATTTTAAGGAAATCAGTGGGGATATTGAACAGGAAAAATTTCAGTCAAGGGGCATCATGTGACCAATATAGACCGAAGAGCAACATTTATTTGAACATTTAAGTCAATGATACCATTCCAGGTGAACTTAACATCTGTATGGAGTCAGATCAGTCTCAATATTAATAAATGCTCACAGAAGGATTCACAAATGTATTTTGCGATTTATATATAAATGACTCTCCACAACAATATCTCTCAATGCACTCACAAATATTTATTGTTGTATATAAATGTACAAAATATGGGCATTTAAACTGCTTTTTATTAATTCAAAGACGGCTCTGAATTAATAATCAAATATGTTTCCTTTCTTTACTACTGGATGAAATTACAAAATGTACCCATAATTTTCCTCATGCTAGTATAGCCACATAAAAGTATCAAACCACCTGTTTAAATGCACCAGAATACAGGAAATCTATTTTTTTTTTCATGGGGGGGATCCCCAAACCCAATGAATACCAGATACATATAGTTAGCTACATTCTAGCATGTTGTAAATAGTACCAATGCATTCCCCATCCTTGAAAATGTAGGATTAGCCACCAGAATCAAGATCCTAGGTGGTCTAGATCCTAAACTGCTGGTAAAATAACAACCATTGGACAAATTTGCGATGGCCCTATAGCCAAAAATCTTCCTTAGGGCATGCTCTAACAGTGTGCCAAATGTCATGTTTTTATCATCAAAAGCACAATTCTTTCAGATATTTCACATATCTGCTGGACTAATGGGGGTGCTAGTGATCTGTCCGACCGGCCCACTCCGGTACCGGCCCACCGTGAAATCTCCCGGTATTCCCAATGGCCAGTCCGCCCCTGTATGCAGGATTTCCTGTTGTGTATTATAGAATAGTGGAGATGTCTTTACATCAAACATGTACTTTTTAGTTTTATGGATGGGACACGAGCAGAGGCTATTTCATACGGAAAAGGCCTAATATTTATGAAAGATTTAGCTAATTCTGCCTCGATATGGGGTGACTTACTACCTTGGCAAAACTATTTCCTGGAGGGAAAAACTGTATTGCTTTAAACACTTATTTTTATCATAAATTACAATGTTAAAAATGTCATTATCAGTTTTTATTTTATTATGATGTTATCTATCCAGTTTCCTTCGGGGTGTGGTAGTCATTCTTATTTGCTGGAAAAATACTAATTGTTTAATAATGGTATGTTTCCATTGTATTTATTTTCTGATCTCTGCCTCTGAATGTGTGCCTGTAGGAACATGGCTGACGGAGACTTGCAGAGTGCTGAGGACACTGTGGACGCCTTAAAATTGTTTGGAAAAAGGTAATATTTGTACACTGATGACTATCTTATATAGTAAAATTGTGCCTCTTTGTTCCCGTTTTGTGACTTATTTTCCTTTTTGTATTACCCTTTTAATAACATTTGAATCCCTTCATGTCTCTTTGCAGCTGTGTTATCTCTCCTTGAAGTCTCTTTAAAGTGATTTTGTTTCTCTCTTTTGTTTCTTTGAGGTCTTTCTGTGTCTCTGTAACGCATTTGTAACTCTTTAAGTGTGTTTTGGTGTCTCTTTGAAGTCTTTTTTGTCTCTTTAAAATATGTTTGTGTCTGTTCGAAGTCTTTGTAACTCGTTATTAAATTATTTTGTGTCTCTGAAGTCTTTTTTGTCTGTTTAAAATCGTTTTGAGTCTTTTTAACCCTTTCAGGTCGTCTTTGAAGTATTTCTTTGTCTCTCTGTAGTTGCTTTGTGATTATTTTGATTCTTTTTCTGTACTTAACTCTTTTAGTTTCATTCTGTTGGTGAAGCCAAGAAGGGCCCTGATCAAACCCAAATGGGTAATGGGGCTCTGTTTGGTAGGCCTGTTTATTGTCCATCCCTGTCTTCATGTGTGTACTGTGTGTGTATGTATTTTTAGGTTGGGTGCAAAGCCTGCAGGCCGTAGTGAGACTCCTAGCAGTGAGACTCCTGAGGAAACTGACTCTGCCCCCCGCAACCATAGTGACCCTTACCGCTACAAGATGGACTATCCCTGCATCGGAACCTGTCTGATCATCAACAACAAGAACTTCCACCCAAGCACAGGTAGATACACCCTTTCTACAAAACACAGAGTTATTTTTCATTGTATAGTCACTTGCACTCAATGTTCTGCATTTTTAATAATGTACACAACAAACATAAAATAAATATAAAAAAGGTCTTCTTTGATGGACTTGTACCAAATCTCCCCCTCCGTATATTTATATAAAAAAAAGAAATTATTGAAAGCCTCCACCCTGTCACATCTTCACCTTTAGTAATTTACTAAACTGTCAAATTAGTTAGTGTTTGGCCATTTTCTGTTACATTACACACAATTAGACAAAATACTACGGAAGCCCTAGAGGCAAGAAAGACAAAGAAAAAATCAGGTGAACCATTTTCTAATTTACATTACATTTGTTTGTGACTTAAACAAATGTGGAAAAAAGCATTTTCCTTCTATCATGTTATATGTAACTAGTAGGGCTGTCAAGTTAACGCATTAATAAGCGTTAACGCAAAATTAACGCCACTAATTATTTTAACGCAATTAACACATGTGTATTTTTTGTCCTCGGCCGCCCCGTAGTTTCAGAGCGCATGAAGTTTAAAATACCATCTACAAGCTGATGCTGACAGCCCCGCTCCTGCCGCCTGCTTGTGGCAGACCACACTTCTACGCTAA